AACGTGTAATCAACCAAATCTGACAGTATGAGGGGCGCGTCTACTATTCGTTTGGAGATTTTTGGCGATCAAAATTAGCGATAGCGATCCGGCTGCTGCCATCCACAAACGAGTCAATATTTGTGCAGTTTCATATTAATACAAATCCATATACATACATACATATGTATTAGTAAATATCGACAATGGTCACATTCAATAAAATGTTCCAAAATATACAGACAATACGAAGTAATAAACAAGTACAATTTTCTTTTTACGCTCATTTACTCGGTTCAACTTGAGTTTCTATGTCAGCTGGCTCTTCCACATAGTAACCATTCTCAGCGCCATCGGTTTTTGCTTGTCCGTTGACTGTACATTTAGGGGCTGACCATTCATTGCAACTTGTCTGTTGAGAATCTCCAGAAGCTTCCTCTTCTGCTTCTTCTACAACATTTTCATTTTCAAGACGTTCACGTTTACGTGGACTAACAGCCTCATTCCCATCATCTTCAGCAGCTATCTCGCAGTTTTGTTCAAAAACATAGTTGTGAATTTGGTAGGCAATCTCCGTTTCGACCATGTTACTGGGAGACTGCATCTGATGTTCAAAGTCGCTGAGGTAATATACCTTTCCGTAGGTGTCCACCACATAGGTGGCAGTATTGCAGGTCGCCGTCCATTGTGGTACGTAGTCGTGGAGGTAGGCACTTTTGTAAGGAGTAATATTTGGCATCACCTGCGGTATACAATAACAACCCGGACTGTAATATTCTAAATCGCTTTCCTCTATGCTGGGACATGGCACAACCGATTTCCGATTGGAGCTCCGTTTTCTTGACATTTGACCCGACTTTATGACTTTCAAATCTAGGCTTCAAACTGGTCGGGGGCCTCTATCGGCTCCAATTGATTGGCGACGTTGATGCAAATGCGTAAATAAAAAATATGCACTTGAAATTGGCGCATTAAATAGAAATTTAAGTAGATTTCCAATATCATCAAGTAGCACAATAAGGATTGTTTATATATGTATATAAATATATATTTATAAAATAGATATGCAGTCAAATCAATGACAAAAAAATTTTGAACTTGTTTGCTACAAATTTTGTTTTTTTGAAAGCTTTCAACCATGCTACTCTCCAAGAATAAATGCTTATTTTTTATTTTTGATAGATTTCCAAGCTATCAGTCAACAGAAGTGAGTGCACATGAGAGCGGATCGAAAAAGTTTAAAAACCAGTCTATATTTTAAGGGTTATGCTGACTACACACGGGGCCACCATTGAAGCAACGTTGTGACGCAACCTATTTTTCTTGTTCAATGTAAACGAGGCAACCATTGCGGCAACCTCAGTGGTGTGTGCTCTGTTATGAAATGAACATACGGAAGAAAATTTTGTTTTCTACCAAAACACCTTTTCAGCTCAACTGTTTTCAAAGAACTAAGGCCGATTTCGTTTCTACCGAAAAATGCAACCTTCTCTTTGCCTTCTACGCACAAACACTAAGGCTGCATTTCTTTATTCATTCTGAACGTTTGGAATAAACTTTTTTGTTTACTTATTCTTTAGAACGTTCCTGATGATATGTTAACGTATATTTCAAAGGCATTCTGTTTATTCCGGCTGTGAAATGGGATTATCCGGAATGTATAAAGAAACGCAACCTAAAAAAAGGGCGACGAGAAGGCAAGATTTTTTATAGAAACGAAAACGCCATAATCCAATAAACTCAATACACAACGAAACACGCGAGGCAACCGTCACGGCACCAACACAAAATATCAAAATATTTTGAGTTTCGTGCGACGGTGCGGCAATACGATTTTCTATGAGCAACAATGATACACACGAGGCAACGCTGGAAGCATCATGCCCTGATTTTTTCAACGGTTGCCTCGTGCGTAGTCAGCATTAGGGAAAGCGTATCCCGAAATTCAATTATGAATGTAGTAATTTGCCTCTAAGTTAAGCTTTTTGTGTTAAAATTAGTGAACCGAGTTAAGAGGTAATATCGCGAACGACGGGTCCGATTTTCATGAAATTCTGAATATTAATAGCTTTCAGCAACCATAATAACAAGGGCAAAAACGAAAAATCCTGTAGCTGGAACACGGACTGATCTTTTCGAAAAAATCGTATTTATAATCCGATTTACTTGAAATTTGGCATGTAGATAGATTATTGCCCTGATTAAACACAAGGGGTACGTATTCTCCGGCAAGTAAAGGGGTACAACAATCCTAGCGGGTGACAGCATTAAAATTCCGACTTTACTTATTTTGGAGCACCCTAATGCACATACATATAATAGAATGAAATGATTGTATTATGCAGCTTTTTGCTGCATTTAAAATGCAACATTTAGCACTTTCGAACATATTTATGTTTTCGAGAGCGTTCATGATATCGCATTTAGCAAATCGCTTATTCAGATCCATACTTATCACGATCAATTCGCACGGAGAAGATAACGTGCAAAAAAACCCTATTGAAAAGGAAAAAAGGAATTTTTAACGAAAAATTCAAAACACCAAATTTTTGACCATAACCGAAAATTTGTTTGTGTATATATGTATTCATTTGTCGGTGCTGTCAATTAAAACTTCCTCATTTAATTAGGAAACAAAACAAACATAGTTGATCATAAATTGATCCAGATTTCTATCAACATCACATCGATGTTGAATTTGCGTAACTGTTCTTTATCCAAATAATTTACAATAATAAATGAAATCCCGATCGGCGATCACTGAAACGCAGCTAACAACTATATATCCGAAAAAGCAATGTTGTCACTTTCTCTCATTAAACCATGTTCGAATCGTGGAAATTTTTGAAGATCATAGGGTTGCTTTTGGCATTTATATTTTTAATGCAGAACGGGAGTTGCATTTATATAGGTGACGAATTTCGTATGGATAAATGTGCATTTAGAGCAAAATACGCTAAATGTGCTTTTACGCGTAAGCAAAAACCGCCCATTACAAAGCGCAAAGCAACCGGGTATTGGTTATCAATCTATACATATATGTACGTAATGAAATTGTAACAGGCCGATGTCTGTGCATTATAGTTACTAAAGAACAAGTAATTTTTAAGCAAACACAACCGACTTCAATTATCATATACATATATATATATTTAGGAGTCCCGTTAATTACGAAGAAAAAAATTAGAGAGTTGCCACCTGTTTGAAAACTGCAGTTTAGATAAATTGACAAGATAGATTAAATATGTAATATCGATGTCAAAAGAAAGAGGTTTAAGAGCGAATCTCAGAAATGAAGTTACTGGAGAGTTGCTGGCAAGTTACTGGATAATTTGTAAAGAAACACAACTAAAAACTAGAGTCCAACCGATTAATCGGCATCGGAATCGGCTAATATCGGCACAAAATTGAGCATCGGCATCGGCCTTTTTCCGCCGATTCCCTGCCGATTATTTGGAATTTCTTTTCATATGTTCAGGTGAAGCGACAAACAACAACAAAAAACATTTGCAGACAGCTCACAAAAATGATTTTTACGTTTTTCCATACAAAAGTATGTTCGAAAATTTAAGTTGAAGAAAATTGCTAAAAACTAACGGGATTTTATAGCAGTTTGAAACTTGCAATTCATTATACTAGAATTGAATGGTCTACAAAACTGCATACGAAAATTCTGATTGAAAGGTTTGAAAATTTGGCGAAAATATTATTGAGCAAACCTTTAATTATTGAAACATGCGTTGTGCATACATTTTCTGGGAATACCCCCTATTGTAAAATATTTCAATTAATTATTTATTTACCATAGAACAAACCTTAGGCCAGGTAAATGAACTTATTTTGCATTAAATTATAAAAAATAAATATAAATAGGTGGTAACCTTCATTTAAACATTTCTGTTTTAAAGCTCTTTCAGTCCTCTTACATATGGTACCAAATTTGTTTAATTTGGATAAGCGGTTTGTTTATACTAGGAAAGACTTTTATTTCGGCCTTAAAAAATAGTTGGCCAAGTTTAACTGTTATAAGTGAACTAAAAAAAATAAAAGTCCGGATTTTTCAGTTATTATTGGACTTATTCCTAAAACGTTCGAAAAATAAAAAGAATAAGGGATTATTGTCTAGGAGGCCCTGGGATCAAAGTATAACTTTCTTCTACGACAATATTTTGCCCCGGACTTTTATAACATCGGCCCCTAGTAAAATCATATCCAAGGTAGGACCTATGAAACAGCTACAAAAGTTCGTAAAAATACTAATAAATACGTATGTATGTACATTTTTTCAATTATTGTTCTGGCTTGAATTGATTAAAATGTCTCTAATTTCGGTCAGTTAGTTTGCCTCCCTCTAATATAACTAAATCTACGTCCTCAACACACAACGGTCCCCCTCCGAGAGCTCATCGGAATAGGTAGGTGATTTTTTTTTGCTTCGCTGCGTGCCAAACGCCTCTTGTAAGCCAAGTAACTGAGCCAGACTACTAGCGGAAACATAGCCAACCCCAATGGCATAAGAAAGAGTATCCAGAATTCGCGTCGATCAGTATAAGCTGCTCCATTGTTATTGTAATCCGTCCAATATTCCACAATTTTCTTGTTATCAACTTTCAGGTAAGCTTCACTTATGTTATACCCATGGAAGTTAATTGCCGCACAAGCATAGAAGCCCTCATCTTGCCGACGCACACCGTTCAAAATCAACTTGCTAAGGTAAATGTCGTCTCCAATATATTTCTCAAGCGCCGTGTACAATAATTCATAGGTGTTGCCATTATAATTGATAGTTTGGAAGTTGGGCTTAGGATTGACTCCTCTTTTGCCAATACGGCCAGTATACACCAAACCAACGGAATTGGCTGTAGTCAAGCGGCGAAACCACTTTATGGTCGGATGCTCTTCGCTTTGCACACGACAATGGAATACTGCCTGCTCACCGGTACTTGCACTTTTATTCAAAGGATGAGGGTCAATAAATTTGGGTACCACCATGCTTTTATCTGTGGAGAAGAGCAAATATTTGATTTCAATTTTAATGTTTCATGCAAATGTAATATGTATGTATTTATAATGCTCCACTTTGGAGTAATAGGAGTTTTTCGCCGCGCCTGATCCCGTACTTCTCGGTCTAAATATAAAAAGTAAAACTGTCATTTGATAAAAATGCGCTCAAAACAAGTATGGGATCAATTTCAAGTAAAATATGGTAAAAATGGCAAGTTCCGACAATGTACGGTATCAGACCTATTACTAGAAGTTGCACTAACTAAAGATTTCCAATATTTTTTAATTTTAACGCAACTAAAAATCAATATATCGGAACGTTTTTTTGTTTGATACTAGGTGTGTATTCTTATTCTCCTAAAAAAATTATACAGCAGCAAAAATCGTCAGAATTTTGTCTCAAAAAGACAAAATATCCATGGAAGTATGAGAACGTAAAATTTGCAAAAAACAGATGGTTCATTTGGCTATTTATTTTCTGCTTGGCACATTTCCCTCGATTTTCAAAATTGAATACTTGATTGATTATGATGCATTCAGCGAATTATAAGTCCCCACATCGTTTAATGCAATAAAAAATTTTAGTCAGTTACGGCTTTTTTGCATTTCAGCGACGATGTGAGATAGGGCATTTCTATATAACTTATATATTTGGTACATAAGTATTTTAGGGTGGTTCCTAAGCCTCAATCCCTACGTCGCTGCTACTATAGTCGAAGATATTACATATACATTTTGGTCCCGATTGAAGTCGGTTAGGGCGTGTCGCACAGGGCAGAGCTGAGAAGTTTCCGATTACGATTACATTTTAATTACGATTGCTTACTTCTAATCCTTAAATTATATGCGATTACGATTACTTTAATTATAATCATAAATACACAAATTACAATAATAACTGTAATATTAAAAATTTAAGGACTATGATTACAGTAATTGTAATCATGAAAATTACGATTACGAGTACTTTTATTATAGTCCTAAAAATATTATGATTACAATTAATGTAATCGTAATCAAGAAAATGTTGATTGCGATTTACTGATATCTGTAGAGATTTAAGCTGAAACTAGTCAAGAACATTAACGCACCGGTACGTAAACTCGAGTCAGCTGACACAATCTATCAATACTCACGATCTCTGAGAACAAAATAGTAGAGCGTTGATAGTTTTAAAATATTTTAAATATATTTGGCTCACAAATGCCACTTTGGACAGTCGGAAGGTTTAATAAATCTGTAGACAAATTTCTTCTATATATATTTCATGTCAAAATATATTCGAAACTCTCTTAAACATTTTCTACTCCTGGCCAGTTTACTAAGCTCTCATCCTCTCCCGAATCGTTGAACTAGAACTTCGTTGTACTCATTTTTACCACGTTTTTATAAACTCGCTTTCTTTTTATTTCAATTTGCACAAATTTACATGCATATGTATGTATAAACACACTAAGGGTATTCATCAACCTTATAAATGCATTGAAAACCGTATAAACTTATAACTGTGTAAACCCTATAAATGAACTGTCAAAATTTGTATGGGAACTCGTTTACACATTTCTGATAAATTTATCCAGCGATTTCACTGAATAAACTTGATAAACTGAAGCCAATGCAACTCTGTCGCAACTCTAGCTATGTTTTCTTGGGCAATAATCGGGATCAGCATAAAAATTTTGCAAGCAAATTCAACAACAACGATATTATCCTGATAGAGATCTGGTTCAATTATTATCCGTTCTGTTAGTTTTGTTTCACTGATAATTTGGCCGAAAAGTTTGGTAGCCGTGACAAATGAATTCATACACAAACAGATATTCTGCCATTGTTTCTTTTAACTTGCTTCAAATAAAAAGCCTTTAAGTTATTTGTATATTTATTTAAATAGATATTATCTCATTAAATATAATTTTTCCCATTTACCGAGCTAGTTAAAGTTAGTATAAAATTAGTGATACTGTGCTCTTTAACCAAAGAAAACACGACTATTGTCGCATGTGTAAACGAAAAGAGTGTGTTGGTCGTTCATATAACAGAGTGCGTATACTTTATAAGATTATCTGCTTGATAAAGTTATCGCTTTAGATGAATACCACTACTATTTAGTTTGCTCGATTTGTAAACAAAGCTTCTCAGCGGTGAAAAATATTCTATTGTGAAACACCTAAACGAGCGAAATGCACAATAGCGCTATCCTTCATCGACTGAGCGCCATTTTACCGAATGAAAATTCGTTCATTCAGCACTTTCGACCACTGTCGAAGATCGAATGCAAATCATTTAGCGGCCTAGGTTTTTGTAAATTGTGTCCAACTACATCTACGGATGTGGAAAGTAGGTTTATTCAAATTTAATTGGATATTTTGGCAATTTATCGATTTTTTTTTAGCGCTCATTTTCAGTTTTTTGTTTGGCATATTTTTGCCACCCCCCTACTTACTTCTTACTTCGAGATGAAAAAGTCGAGCATGCACTTTGTCAGATCTGGGCTCTAACGGAATTACTGTGCATTTATATAAGCCAGAATACTCTTCGGTGACGTTGCGGAGTAACAAATCAGATTTGCAGAAGTTTTCCTCACAGGGAAGCTGCAACCAATCGTGATGGCGATCACCGTCCACAGTTTTTTCACGGCATTGCTGCAAGCATTGTTTAATTTATTGATGTATGTTTTGACAAGCAGGTATTATATTTTTATACATGTGTATGTAGATATGTATGTAGATATAAAAAAAAAAAAAACTTTTTCGGAAAACCCCAAATTTTTACAATTAAATATGCTCCTACCTTAAAATACCAGTAAATCTTGGTTTCTTCAACATTTCCCCCATTTACTAAGCCTTTGATATCGCATTGCAATAGGATATTATATCCCTCCTGTGGCTGAACATATTCAATGTTTTCTGTAAAAAAAAATTAAATAAAAAAAAATGGAGTTATAGTTTATGAGTTTGTAGGTAAATAATGAACAACTTTTCATCGAAATTTCCAACTTGTTCTGTATTTCTAGAATATTTTTGGGTATGCAGTTTTATGGCTCATAGTATAATAAAATGTAAGTTTCTAGATGCTTAAAATTCCCGATGATCTATAATATATATATATATAT